TACCTGTATGGTCCCTGCTTCCCTGAACAAAATAGTAGTATAATTTCTGTCTTCTGCTCTGTAGCCTCTCATAATCTCCCTGAAGGCATCTTGCCATAGCTGTCTGAACCTCCTTAAAACCCTAGCTAGTCTTTCTTAGGGGGGGGGGGTGATGAACCCTTCACCATGTTGACCTACTGTATTCTGCAGCCTCCTCCATTACTCTTTCTAGACTTGATTCCATTCATGATCAAAAGGTTAAATTTGTGTCTTGGGTCTTTTTGTTCTTTCCCAGCTGAGTGTTTATATGCAGAGATGACCCTTGTAGTTTTAGCGCTTCTTTTTGATTATAATAATAATAATATGCAGAGGTGAATGTTCCATCTTTGCAACATTGGCATGATGCCCATTGTCTCTGTTATTTTGATCATTCTCATGATCTTCACAGTCTTCTACTTGTAGGATGGTAATGTATGTTAGCAGAGCTTCCATGTTTGTTATCCCTCTTACTTGTTCATTCTCCACTAATCCCACACATCTGCCTTTGCACACATCTGCCCCACTCTCTCCTTTAGCCCATCCCACTGCAGTGCTGTATGACTCAGGTTTGGCACTTGGTTTGATTGTGATGATGATAACAATAAGCATAATTATAGGGCTAATGATGCTAATAAATAATTATGAGGTTAATGCTAATAGTCATCTACAGTACTGACTCTTTCTCACACATCTTCCACTGTAAATACAGCTCATTACTGTCAGGTAGCTTAGTATTCTGTAGACATTTTCTGCTTTATATTTGGATATTGTATAGGGCCTTACACCATTCATCACTTTATATATTTAAGCTCTACTGATGACTGTAGCTACTGGTAATCTTTACATTTTTTGGTTTAAATTTAATGATGGAAGCTTCAGATTAAAGTTTTGCAAAACATTGTAAGTAATTTAATGAACAAAACTTTTACAATGTAATTGTGTAACATTAATATATGAAATGTGTATTGCAGTTAAATACTGTATGTACTTTTGTATTTCTTAGTAAACCTTTATATTATAAGTTTGGATTTTCTTACCCTTTTGACAGGTTGCTAAATTATGCCAAAAGATTTTCTAAATTTAAGCTTTTTACTCGTGTACATAAACCACAGAATGGGAGGGGTTCAAACCCACAGGAAGTGAGTTGTAAAACTCCATGCCAGTGCATAAGCCACTAGTGGTATATGCACTGGTGCAGAGTTTTATGACACTTGTTATGGGTTCAACCCAAGCCCATTCCATGGTTTGTTTGCAATCATGTTAGTACAATTTCGTGAGTCCTGAATGTACATACTTTGCAATATTTACCAGTATTATCAAAATGTACAAATGCACATAATACTTAAGCAGTTTTAACAAAATAATAAGTAAACTCAGACATTTGGAAAATTTCTCCATATCTAAAATCAAACCAAATACTAAGATACATACTTAATAAAACTCTATACAAAATGTACCTTATTCTGTGCTGCTAGTGGAGCTACCCTCCTCTTCCTTGGAACAAATGTGATTACCTCCCCTCTATGGAGGTTCCTTGATGCTTGTGAGGCTCTTGATACAAGGAATTGGATTTGTACTTCTCTAATTTGGACAGAGCTTGATTGCCTCCCATTCCCCAGGTACTGTTTAACTCGAGTCTAGAGCTCCCATGCAGTGCTGTATGATCATTGTGGGTCTAGTGGTTGGTTTTGGTAATAATAATACTAGCATTTCCATTAAATGTACCCTTGCCAGCGTATATTTGCAAGGATCGATTCTTGGCTCCTGGTCACACCTCTTAAGCTTTGTTATTGTATTTCTGGTTTCTGGCCTTATTCCTAATACTGTATTAAAACTGTGTACCTATGTATATGCAAAACAACTTCAGATACCCTGAACACTAATTGTGTCTGCATTTTGTTTTTTTGTTTTTTATTGCCTAAATTATTTAGGGCAATTTAAACACTAGTAGGGTTTACTTCCCACATGAATACATACTTATGTGATACTTGACTACCTTTATAGCTGAAATATTTTAGACTGAAAGCTAATACATGTACAGTTTATCTTTTGTATGAACTCTCCTGTGTATCACAAGAATGCAGGCATTCTGAAGACTGATAAGTAAGTTTATTTAAGCACAGGTACTCATAAATACAATTATCATGCTTAATGTAAATTACCTAGGGGTTTGGGATATTGGCAGTTTGGAGGGATATATTGTGTATCTTTATACGTATATGCTTCTAAACTGTTGTATTCTGAGCACCTCTGCAAAAACAGTGATAATGTGCGAGTGTGGTGAGTGTTGAATGATGATGAAAGTATTTTCTTTTTGGGGATTTTCTTTCTTTTTTGGGTCACCCTGCCTTGGTGGGAGACGGCCGACTTGTTGAAAAAAAAAAACTCAAAAAAAAAAAAAAACAGTAAAACCAAGTGACTTATTTCCATTTGTTTATCTCAATATGAACTCTCGTATGTTACAAGAATGTATGTTATGCTGAACATTTCAGACATTCTGAAGACTGATGTGGTTGTGATTTAAAAAGAAATAAGTGTTCATTGTTTGGAACTGGTTTTCAGGGGGTTAATTCAAACAATTCTTTTCTGTAGTATACAAAATGTAGATTACATATGGTAAAATATTGTTAAGCACAACCCATGCATGCAGAGCATTTCTTCTGTTTAATTCTTAGAAATCAATAGACTGATCCTAAAACAGACAAAATAAAACAGTACAGTACTGTATTGCAAAGAAATACCAAACAATTGTTTTCTAATGGTCATTGATCCTGCAACACCCCCTGCCCTGCAAGAATGTATGACACTAGTGGGTTTAGTGCTACCTTTACATTATAATAATAATCTAATGGTCATTGTACTGTAAAAAAATTGTATGTTATATACACAAAAACCTGTGCATAAGTTAGCTTATTTAGGTATAGATACACATAAGCACTGGGGCCCTTGTAATATCTTTAAGGTCCCTTATGGAAATATATAACCTTTTCTGACATTTCTGAGGTTAACCTGTATAATTTACACTATATATGATAAATGTACTAAAGTGTACCCATTCCTAAATAAACGTACTAAGATACATTAGAAACCAAGTCATGATGATAACCTTAAAAAAATACTATGCGCTCTTTCTAGAAATACATAAGAATATGAACATAAGTAAGGTTAATTAGGTACAGGTATACATAAATAGTTACAAAAATGATCATACATAGCAGCATATGTACATATTACATAGGATAACCCAAGAAAATCAGCCTAAGTGACTTATTTCCATTGGAGTCCTTGTTATTTTTATTATACATTATATGCATGTATAATTTCTTTGTAAAAACGAATATTTGATTTTCTTAATAAGAACCCAAGCACTATATGACAATTTCATGTTTAGTGCTAAACTTGATTATAATAATACTTAATAAGAACCAAAGGTAACTTGATGAAGAACCATCGTGCAGGTCAGAACTCTCCCACAACATAAACATGTCGTTCACATTCGCAGCATTTTCTTACATTATTGCTCTCATTGTGGATGCCTTCCTCATATTCTTCGCCATCTTCCACGTAAGTCTCTACAGCAGGTGTTGGTCTTACCCATAGTGTGACTCTCTGCACATGTTGCAATGCTTAATTTGAACTAGAGACGTGTGTTATGTGGGGGGAATTGCCTCCTTGGTTACCTGTCGTCTACAGTAGTGTAGTCCCTCACGGGGAGGTACCTTGATGTTGGTGAGGGCTTGATCCAAGGTCCTTCATGGGGAGGTACCTTGATGTTGGTGAGGGCTTGATCCAAGGTCCTTCATGGGGAGGTATCTTGATGTTGGTGAGGGCTTGATCCAAGGTGCCTCATGGGGAGGTACCTTGATGTTGGTGAGGGCTTGATCCAAGGTCCTTCATGGGGAGGTACCTTGATGTTGGTGAGGGCTTGATCCAAGGTCCTTCATGGGGAGGTACCTTGATGTTGGTGAGGGCTTGATCCAAGGTGCCTCATGGGGAGGTACCTTGATGTTGGTGAGGGCTTGATCCAAGGTCCTTCATGGGGAGGTATCTTGATGTTGGTGAGGGCTTGATCCAAGGTCCTCTCATGGGAGGTACCTTGATGTTGGTGAGGGCTTGATCCAAGGTCCCTCATGGGGAGGTACCTTGATGTTGGTGAGGGCTTGATCCAAGGTCCTTCATGGAGAGGTACCTTGATGTTGGTGAGGGCTTGATTCAAGGTCCCTCATGGGGAGGTACCTTGATGTTGGTGAGGGCTTGATTCAAGGTCCCTCATGGGGAAGTACCTTGATGTTGGTGAGGACTTGATCCAGGGTCCCTGATGGGGAGGTACCTTGATGTTGGTGATGACTTGATCCAAAGTCTCTCACAGGGAGGTTCCTTGATGTTGGTGAGGGCTTCATCCTAGGTCCCTCATGGGGAAGTACCTTGATGCTGGTGAGGGACTTGATCCAAGGTTCCTCATGGAGAGGTACCTTGATGCTGGTGAGGGCTTAATCCAAGGCCCCCTCATGGGGAGGTACCTTCATGCTGGTGAGGGACTTGACCCAAGGTCCCTCATGGGGAGGTACCGTGATGCTGGTGAGGGACTTGATCCAAGGTCCCTCATGGGGAGGTACCTTGATGCTGGTGAGGGCTTGATCCAAGGTCCCTCATGGGGAGGTACCTTGATGCTGGTGAGGGCTTGATCCAAGGTCCCTCATGGGGAGGTACCTTGATGCTGATGAGGGACTTGATCCAGGGTCCCTCATGGGGAGGTACCTTGATGCTGGTGAGGGACTTGATCCAAGGTACCTCATGGTAAGGTACCTTGATGCTGGTGAGGGACTTGATTCAGGGTTCCTCATGGAGAGGTACCTTGATGCTGGTGAGGGACTTGATCCAGTGTCCCTCATGGGGAGGTACCTTGATGCTGGTGAGGGACTTGATCCAGAGTCCCTCATGGGGAGGTACCTTGATGCTGGTGAGGGACTTGATCCAGGGTCCCTCATGGGGAGGTCCCTTGATGCTGGTGAGGGACTTGATCCAAGGTCCCTCAATGGGAGGTATCTTGATGTTGGTGAGGACTTGATCCAAAGTCCCTCACAGGGAGGTTCCTTGATGTTGGTGAGGGACTCTTGATTCAAGGTCCCTCGTGGGGATAATTGATTCAAACATAGACGTTAGGGAACTTCAGGAGGATTTAAACAAACTATATTCTTGGTCAGAAAAGTGGCAGATGCAGTTCAATGTAGATAAATGCAAGGTTCTAAAGCTCGGGAGTGTCCATAACCCTAGCACTTATAAGTTAAATGATGTAGAACTTAGCCATACAGATTGCGAAAAGGACTTGGGGGTTATGGTAAGCAGCAACCTTAAACCAAGACAGCAATGCCTAAGCGTACGTAATAAGGCAAATAGATTATTGGGATTTATATCAAGAAGTGTAAGCAACAGAAGTCCAGAGGTCATACTGCAGCTTTATACATCATTAGTAAGGCCTCACCTAGATTATGCAGCTCAATTCTGGTCTCCATATTACAGAATGGACATAAATTCGTTAGAAAACATTCAGCGTAGGATGACTAAATTAATACATAGCATTAGAAATCTTCCTTATGAAGAAAGATTGAAGACTCTTAAGTTACATTCACTTGTTAGACGAAGAATGAGGGGAGACCTGATCGAAGTGTATAAGTGGAAGATAGGTATTAATAAAGGGGATATTAATAAGGTCTTGAGGATATCTCTCCAAGAGAGAACCCGCAGTAATGGATTTAAATTAGATAAGTTTAGATTTAGAAAGGACACAGGAAAGTATTGGTTTGGAAATAGGGTAGTTGATGAGTGGAACAGTCTACCTAGTTGGGTTATTGAGGCTGGGACTTTGGGTAGTTTCAAATTTAGGTTGGATAAGTCCATGAGTGGGAGGGGTTGGATTTGAGTGGGACTTGCACATCAGAGCTTATTTCTTGGGTAGCATTGAAAATTGGGTTGGTCAAATGTTTTGTTAGTGGGATGAATTGTAAAGGACCTGCCTAGTATGGGCCAACAGGCCTGCTGCAGTGTTCCTCCTTTCTTATGTTCTTATACCTTGAAGTTGGTGAGGGATTCTTGACCCAAGGTCTGTCATGGGGGTACCTTGATGTTGGTGAGGTATTCTTGATCCAGGGTCTCTTGGAGAGATGCCTTGATATTGGTGTGGGTCTTGATCCAAGGCTTGGTATCTTCTTCATTTGTTTGCCAGTGTGTATTTTGTCATCCAGTATTGAAACCCTGCTTAAATATGATGGGACTTACACAGATGACGGCAAAGAAATGACTGAGATACTGAAGTCCCAGTATGACTCGGCATTTAGTGAGCCATTAATCAGACTAAGGGCCGACAATCTGAATTAATTTTTTAATGAGTTTTTTTTTTTTTATATTTTATTTGAAACTCGGGTACAAAATATATGGGTACATAACCAATATGTAACAAGATACAGGCCGTGAAACAATAATCTGCAGTGACTACACAAGTACCGAAGAAGCACTTATATAATGACATCAGAACCGGCTGCACTCAAATCAAACACTGCTCTTATGTACTGTGCTTTACGTGAAAAGATGGTCTTATAATAAAACGATAGTCCTACCTAGTAATACTTACACTCCCCCCCCCCTTGAAAACGTACCACTTTCACCTTAGTATACTCATTGACAAATCACTTATACATTTATAAGAGCATTAAGGACTTCATTGACAACATATATAAACACAATCCAGCCATCTAAAAGGCTGACTATAATACAAGGAATGTCTGAACATGATGGCACACATCCACCATTAAACACAATCCACACCCTAACCCTCATATACCCTATGGTAACAATCAATATCGTGCACGGTGGTGGATTTAATACACTACCGCTGACACTTCAACCCCCCCCCCCCACATGCCTAGTAACTGTGTCTGCCGTCACCACTCATAACCACCATCAGTCATTGAATTTAAACATACATTAGAATACAATAAAATAAAAGAATATAAGAATCCCTTATCGACTCCGCCACAGAAAAATAAAATTTTTCCATTTTCTAAATACACACTGCTGGTTCATCTTTGTGCTGACACAAAATATCCCCCATCCCCTATGCTTTTTATCTCTTTACTCCAAAGCTAAATACCAGATTATACATTTCATCAATCAAAATTATATTACAATAAGCATAAAAATATCAATACTTATCATCCGACTAATAGGTGTACATTGTTATCACGCTGAATTCCATGAAATTTACATAAGAATTAATACATATATTGACAATCCTCACAATCCTTCCCGTCTTCTAAAGACAGTGTACATACATCCAATGACATGTCGTTATGATCCAATCATAATTAAATTACACTTCCCCTTTTCCCCAATGCTAGATAAATGCCACTTGCACTAGACGTCACAACACCTTACATTTGTTCACTTAAAACGTATAAAATAAGAACTAACATAAATAAAACTTATAACAATATATAGATAGTAATTATTTGACAAAGTGAAGGGTACCAACTAATATGGTAACAGTACACTAGAAATTGGAACTCACACACTAATACATATTCCCATTTTTATGTATTATCATGTTCAACAAGATATATATATTTATTAACAATGTTCCAGAGCAATATCAGACTTTGTCACGCACTAAGTTACATAATATAACTTATGGCTCCTAATAAAACATGTACAGGGCAGTACTACCTCAATCATTAACAAACCATCCTGGCAAAAGACACTTCAGAAAGCCATCCCCTGACCCCATGCTATCTGTATTAAAAAACAAACTCGCGTTCCCTTTCATGCTCAAGTCCGTACCTGACGCCTAAAGTCATAAAACCCTTGTCTCTTAACCAAATGTCACCAGTTAACCCCCTATACCCCCCTCATTCCTAATGACTTTACACCCATATGCTCCACTACCACACACTTTTATTCCACCTTCCATCCTCCACTAATCTCAAAATGGAACAAAAATGCCAGTTTAGGGAGAAACAGCCCAATCCAGCTCTAAACTACACCCAACCCTAACATTACACCTACCATCAGATTACGATAACCCAAGGGAAAACTATTTACCCACACCCTCCCATATAGTAGCCTATTTCTGCATATTGTACGATACACACTCGCCGCAAGCGCCCGCACCCTACATTCACCCCTACCTCCCGCATGCACCAAGACACATACAAAAAATCTGCCACTACATACATCACTGCCCTCCGAATGTCCTTGGAAATTCCGCCCACATCAAAATGCAAGGCCCTCAAAGTCGAAATGTTTCTCCCCCTCCCGCCACTATACCCAGGACCCTCGCTAACCATGTCCTTACAAACTCCAAGTTTTCACAAAAATATACAGCATGAAAAGCCGTCTCCTCTTCCCCACAATGCAAACAAGTGCCCGCACCTACATAACCCATTCTATATAGCGCTGACCTTGTAGCTAGAATTCCCATAAAGAATCTATAAACCACTTCACGAACCCTTGGCTTTAATCTGATCTTCCGAAAGTCTTCCCAAATGCCCCTCCAATCATACATCGGGTAT